CACATGCTGCTCATGACTCTCTTGGCAGTGATACCAGTCTTTGTCCTCTAGGGGCACAAAAGTGCCCAGATTCCTAGCTCCCACCCTAACCCAGCTGTAGCAGAGGTGGTGGGGGCAACTCGTCCTGATGTATGCAGGACTACTGGATTGGCGGTAGGCTGCGGCTGAAATGCTCTGACCAGGGGAGGTGTGGTTGTGCCAGGGACTCACCTCCAGGGAGGATAACCTGGAGCTCCCAGAAGAAACAGGCAGCTTAGGAAGGGGACTGCTAGCTCTGCCCTCCCTCAGGAGACACAGTAACTTTAGTAATTGTGGAACACAAAAGCATTTGCTATGGCTTTTTTTGAGGGAAGGGCATGTGCCCCAAGCACCGTGATATCCTGGGTGTGATAGGTGCTCTGTCAGAGGCAGGGAAGCCACACCCATGTGCCCTGGCTTAATCTTCCCATGTGGAACCCTCACTGGTCCCAAGTAGAAAGCACCACAACTGCCTCAGCAGGAGCTGGTGGGCGAGGGGAGGAGAAGGAGAAGGCCCCAAATGGTGGGAGCCCCTGGTCCCCTTTGTTCTAAGAGGCCCTCTTACATGTTGTACCCTCCTCTCAGCTGAAAGTGACCCACCCTGAACGACCAAGCTCTGGGAGATCCATAGTTCCCCTGAGATCCACCAATCCCTTAAGGCTACCATGGTCCAAGTGGGTGCTAGGGCAAATTGGCTCTGGATCCAACAATGTAGAGACCCAGGAGCTGAGATTCCTATGTCTGGAAAGCTGCAAAAACACTGCCTGTCCATGAAGGGAGAGAAATGAGCCGCATCCTCCATGCAGAACCGAGGCATGGTGCGGTGAGTACTATTCGTGATGTACACCCACCCCCCCCAACCCCCGCACTAGCCTAGAACTGGTTGTCCCACAGCTTCCCTGCACCAAAAGCTCATGCTTGGGAGCAGAGGTGGCTATGTCTGCAGCATTAAATGGTTGGAAGGGGAGAGGTCCCTGTCTCCACATCCCTTCCTGGGCTGCCCAGCTTTGAACTTCCAAATGGCACCTTGGACCTGTGACCAGAGAGGGTGGGACCTCTTCCAGGCAAACAATGTGGGCAAGATGCTGGATGGAGTGTCATCTGCTTGCGTCTGAGTCACAATGCAGCTTATAGCAGGGCAGTGGCAATTGTCCTAATAGTATATAGGACAGCTTGGACTCCCCTGTCCCTCCTCAGCTGGGCAGGGTTGTGTCAGCCCAAATTTAGCCTGGGGGAAGGGTGCTGCCTGGCTTCAACTCCCTTCTCTGTGCCTGTGGCCAGAGAGGGTAGGTCCCTTCTCAGGCAGGCTACCTTGGCAGGAAACTGTGGGAAGTGCAGTTTGCTCCAGGCTTGGTCCCATACCTCCTGGCTACAGGATGGTGGGGCACCATCTCAGATGTGTGCTGGAAAGCCTGATTTCCTTGCCTCTCCCCAGCCAGGTGGGGGCTGCAGCCACATCAAACCCAAACTCAGCCTGAGGGTCTCCATCCAGTGAATAACTCACAAAATGGCACCTTAGACCTGCGACCAGAAAGGCTGGGTTCACACTCAGGCAGGCAGCGTAGGAGAGAAACTGTGGAAAATGCAGTCTGCTCACATCTCAATCAAATGCGGGTCAGTGGAGACCTTCCCAGGGGTGCATGGGAGCACCTGCGCTTCTCTATCCCTCCTCAGAGCCATGCAGTGGCTGCAGGCATGGCTATGGTTCCCTGGTATCTAGGTTCTCAGAATGGTGCCCAGTGTCAAGCTGCTCTAGGCTCAGATGCCCAGGGGATTCCGTGGGAGTTCTCTTTCTGGAGCAATGTCTCTGTGCAGTCTCCAAGTAGTTCCCTATGTTAGGCCAAAGAACTACATGGGTCAGGGGGTTCTCTTGTAGCCATGACTGTAAGTGCTTGTCTCAGAGAGTAGAGCCCTGGGGTCTCTCTGTCCCTTACTGTTTCTCCACATCGAGGACCTTCTCCTGGCTGTTAGCCAGCCCCAGGCTGGGCAAGTTGCCCTGAACCCTCTCCTTACCCACTTTTGGTGCTTTCTGTTGCTTCCCTGGTGAATACCAGCATTCTCTTCTAGACAATCTCTTCAAAATGTGAGAATCTACTTCCTATTCTGGTTATTATCATGGAGGAGGCACATGCTACCTGTGTCTAGTTAGCCACCATTCTCTCATTCCTACATTTCTTCTTATCAGGCTTGATATTATCTTGCTAAAGTCCATGTGAAAATTCCCTGTGAGGTCTTGACCAAGGGCTAAGCTACTGGTGCACAGTGCAAGACTACATGCACCTTACCAGAAAGCATTTGCTATATAATTGAGAAAGAACAGAGATACCAGAAGTTCAGCAGTGCTGGGGGATTTTGGAGTCTCAGCCCAGCCAGAGTGGAGCACTAACACCTCATTAATAGTTGACACATCCAGCTTAGACACCAGAAAGCCCAACCTTAAAATTAAGAACTGTGCCCTACAGTAAGGTTTAGAAAGCCATATTTGACAAACGCTGAAATAAAAATGTGTCATATATGGCTTTTATAATTCCTTCTATGCCTAGTTTGTTGAGGGTTTTTTTCATGAAAGAGTGCTGGATTTTGTTGTTGAATACTTTTTTTGCATTTATTGAGATGATCATATGATCTTCTTCTGTTTATGTGGTGAATCATATTTATTGATTTGCATATGTTGAACCATCTTTGAATCCCTGGGATGAAGCCCACTTGGTCATAGTGGATGATTATTGTTATTTTGATGTGCTGTTGAATTTATTTTCCTGGTATTTTGTTTAGGATTTTTGCATCTATATTCATGAGGGATATTGGTCTATAATTTCTTTTGTTGTTGTTGTCTCCTTTCTAGGCTTTGGTATCAGGGTGATACTGGCTTCATAGAATGACTTGGGGAGGATTCCTTCCTCGATGTTATGAAATAATTTCTGTAGGATGGGTACCAGCTCTTCTTTGTAGGTCTGGTAGAATTCAGCTGTGAATCTATCTGCTTTGGGGCTTTTTGTTGTTTTTGTTGGGAGACTTCTTATTACTGCTTTGATTTCACTGCTCATTATTGGTCTGTTCAGGGGTTCTATTTCTTCCTGATTGAGTCTTCACAGGTTGGGTGTTTCCAGGAATTTGTTCACGTCCTGTATGTTTTCTAGGTTATATGCATAGAGATTTTTATAGTATTCATGGATGTTTTGTATATCTGTGATATAAACTGTAATATCTTTTTCATTTCTGATTG